GAAAATAAAATAAGAACCATATTGCAATATCAAGAGTTCATCGGAAGTGAATTTTGACCGAACTTTTATTACAAGAATTGACCTTCTGGTCGAAACATCAAAAAACTCAAAAGTATAAAAATATATATTACGTGATCACGTTTGTTCCGTACAAATACGTAATATGTTGTTTAAACTCTCTTATGACAGTATTTATGTAATAAAAAAAAACTGTATATGTCAGTATAAATAGTTCCATTACTAATAAGTAATGTTTAGAAACATGCTTGGTGTATCAAACTCCTTTTACATATTTTTTTAATCTGTGCATGTTCAAACTAGTTATTAATAGTTTTAACATGTACTATGTTTATAAATAAAAATTGTGCGAAAATGTTTGTAGTTATTAAATATGCTGTGCAAAAAGTAGTATTGTAATTTGATAGTTTTATTATATGTACTTATTGGTAAGAGTAAAAAAATGAGAGAATATACCTTTTAAAAGCTCTGTTTGTAATGGTGTATTAATAGTTTACAGATAAAACTTTCTTTTGTAACAGAATTGTTTCATAAGAAATGTTTGGGACTAAGTAATATTTAGAAGTGATATATAGCAAAAGCTACCAGCAAACACGAAACACAAAAAGGGTGTATTAAAAAAAAAAACAACTTGTTCTAGATTTTTCCTTTGCTGTAGTTATTGCCATGATAAAAAATATCAAAACTCAGTGTTGTTCTAATTATTTGAGTTAATACACTACTATACTCTACAATGCACATTTAAATGGTAACTAACCTCAATTTTATGTCATATTTTGGAAAATATAAAAATACAATTAATTTACAAATGTAAGCTGTGTGTCCGCCATAACTAAACACCACCCATGTTCCTCTAGACTAGTATGGTGGTGGTCAAATTTCTATATTAGCTATTTTTTAATGATTCTATTGTAATTTGCTTTATATCATTAAATAGATAGAAAATTATAAAAATATTCATATGTATATGTAAATACAGTGTTAAACACTGACATTGATAGCAGTATTTGTAGAATTACTAAACATAAAGTGTGTGATTACTGGCTAATCCCTTAGTTCTGGTTGTAATTGTAATTTAAAACATGTTTAAATTCTATTAGAACACTTAATACTTTATGCAATCAATCAAACATCAGCACCATCATCCGAAGGTTAATCCCAGTTGCGACTACGATACTCGAGGTCCGCTTTTCGTCTATTTCTCCTCCACTTTGCACGATCTTCGGCATCCCGCGTTTTGGAGACCAATTGGGTCTTCTCCTCCTACCATGGCCAGGTGGAGGCGGCTAGGCGGTTGCCACAAAACTTGGCCGTCCACCTTAGGCGAGGTTCTTGCGACTTATCCGCATTTCGACCTTTTGGTACATTAGTTTACTTCCATTTTCGCAAGACATGCTGATTATATGATATTATTGTCCTAATATTGATGAGTACCAAATTGAACACTGTGTACTTAAGCTAGTAATTTGGTGTAGACAATTGTCTATTAAGTGGATTATATTGAATGCCACAAAGAAGGTTCACAGTATTTATATAACTCATTTTTGCTTTTAATTTGTCTTCAATCACAAGCTTCTTCTACGTTATATCAATTTTTTAAAACACAGCAGCCAGTGGAGGTGAGCGCTGACGTCGCGATTCCCAGGCACTGTCAAAGCCTGTGTTGCCCCCATCTATCGCGCGATGGACCCGGCAACCGCACAAATCCATGGAACGCTAAGAAATAGGTTCTCCTTGAAGAACTGATTCTGGGACAAAAAAGCACTGTGTGACGAATTGTGTGTTTCTTTGAAGATGTTACCTTACAAAATATATTTTTTGTGTTAATTTTGTCATCTCAGCAAAAAGTGCTATTTTGTCAGTGATTGTCGAGGATTTACGTAGGAAAATATAAGTATGTTTATTTTAGAAATATATGTGCCCGGTTAATAGCCACAGGGTTCTCCTCTGTTTGGGACTATTATTATATTCGGCGAAATGTGGTCCTTTAAAATGCCCTTCTTCCCCTTCTGGTATAAATATGTGGGTCTATGAATGTCTGATTGTTTATAACCGAATTATTTCAGAACATTTCAATGACAAATTCTGTCCAGTCTCACCTAAAGGTTCAAATTTACACTTGTTTTAGTTTTACCTATCATTGCTAGCTCTGAAGATGCTATAACGAAAGTAAATTAAAGATGTATAGTATGCTACAAGTGTCAGCAGGGTAAATAGTATTAAAAACTGGAACATTGACGTTTATATAATGTTTCTCACTATTGTTTTTAAATTTAACTGCTCTATTATTTACGAAAACGGATAAAATGAATGCTTAGACAAAGTGCAAGTGTAACTTTTAAATGTTTCATAGTAAAACTATATCACAGATTGCACTATTTAGATGTCTTCCAGAGTTCCATTATGTTATTTGTATAAACTGATCTATGTTTGGTTTATTTGGGGTAAAACACCTCCACATTGGAAATTGTGAAGTTTTATCTGCAAATGTGATAAAGATCAGGCGAGACTAAAAGTTCGCTATAGCAACCGGTCCTTCGAGTCCCGCGTCTAGTTCATTCTTCAGTCAGTTAGTCTGTCAGGTTGGGGTCATAAAATAATAGTTTTTGAAGTGATAACTTCTTATGGGAGGGTGAACCGCTTCGTTACGTAACGCGTTACGGCGCCAGTCTGTCTGGCTTCCCTTTCTCTCACGCAATACGGCAGCGGTAGGCAGGCTCCTCCTCTATCACGCTAACCCACAGCCCCTAGCCGTGTTTCGGACAGACGCTTTACATACAATTAAGTAATAACCTAAAGCTTTTCTCAAGTTTAAACAATTTCAATATTAAATAGTTTAAATTAGATTAGTTTAAGTTAACACTTCTGTCGGACGTCCCGAGACGGACACGTTTTTTTTGGCAAGAAACTAAAATAAAAAGTAGTGTAGTTTCGAGTAGGTTCTTATGTATTTTTGTTTTATTATATACAATAAAATCTTCCCCTCATATTCATCCATAATGCCGAGTTCTAAGCCAGAATTTCGAAAGTAAAAATAATTTGATTACTCTGTCCTGTTTCAAACTATATAATCGTTTCTATGTTTTTTTGGGTCTCTTTTTATTTTTGTTGATTTTATAGTTATTCAAAAGATTATATAAAGCAAATTCAAATTATTGATTAAATATGCTTCTATCATACCTTGCAATACAGAAGACATTATCAGGTATTTGATAAGAATTATTGTATGTATTAATTTGAAAATAAAGGTTTTCATAGTAATAGATCAAACAAAAACATGCAAAAGAATACTGTAATACGCATAACATTTTAAACAAAGAAATAACCATCTTCAAAGAAGTTTATTGTGTTATTACCTAATTTACTACTGCATATGATATATCATAAAATAATCTGATATTATGTAGACTATGTTATGTAACACATACATTAACACCTATGTACATATTAAAATACATACAAAACATAATGATTTGATTTTCGAAGTCAGTAAAATAAGGCATATTCTCTCATTAAATCACTTTCCAACATTCCAATGTAATTAATAGATTTTTTACTAAGACAGTATTAGTAAGAAATAGAGGCACAAGCGAATCTGTACAAAAATCTCTTATTACGAAAATTTTAGGATAAGAAAGTGGAAGGTATTTTTAATTCCACAGTTTTTTTTTTTTTTTGTTAGTGTTGGTTGTGGAAAATACCTAATGCTTCCGATATTCGGCAATATATATATGCCCCAGAGACTAGTATGGGGACAAAATTTAGTATATTTTGAGGACATCTGTATAGTTTAAGGACATTCCCCAAACTATTCTTGTATAGAGTGATACCCGTTCTACCATCTATAAAATTTTATGTCCCTATCTACGCAAAATACGTTTTTGGCTCCAAACTATACTTTGGGCATACTTATAATGTTGTTCTGTCGCAACACATCTGCTTCTACTCATAGAAAGCTTTATAAAAGTTGCAATAACATTTGTTACTGACCACGGGCAAAGCTGAGGCAGCTCATTATTATGTATTTTTCAAATAAGCTCTATCTACCAATTTTTTTTATCTACTTGTTTACATCCAGGATGATTTTGCATTTCTCATTTCAACCGCTAACATAATACTAACCCACCAATTAGTTAATATTATCTTTTTTGGTTTTAAATAATTATAAAATTAAAAACCACTTCACTGTGCTGTTTCACAAAGTTTTTCGTAGATAATCTATTAGCTTGGGTTGTGGGTGAATATAAAAAATTGGTGGAAGTTTTGTTTGTCACTTTTTATATTACAATTAGTACAATATAATGAATTTATCTCCAATAAATAGGAAGTGAAGTAAATGTTAAAGATTATTAAGCATTTTGTAGTAATTAATCAACTTGTGACCTGAATTTGGTTGCCTAATGCAAAAATATAATGAATATGGAATTTAAACCACAAATTCAAAATGCAAAGTCACCTGAATTTTCGCTATACTTTTCTTTTGGTAAAAAAATTAACCATTTTGTCACTTCATATTCTGAAAAGCTTATGTAATAACCTCTATCCTTTTGTATTAAAACTGTTATAAATTAAATATAATTATAACTTAAAATATAATTATATTTACACAAATATGTCAGAGGTCAAATTAATTAATTTAAGCGGTTTGTACATGTACTTAAATAATAACAGAAAGTAGAAAAAATCTTATCATAAGAATATTTTTGCATATATGTTTTGTGTGATTTACAAAATAATTATAAATTTGTGGATTACAAAATTATTGTTATGTGAACTGGCCAATAGAAATGAGTAACAGAAAAAATGCTTATGTCTTTTCTGTTAGCTAATAGCGCTAAGTTAAATTTATTTAAACATTAAGAAAAACATTAAAATATGTAACCCTTTGCATGATTCAACAAAACACAGACTGTTATTACTAACAAACAAAGATACTAACATACTTGAAAAGCGAAATTTTCCAATTCTGACTTGTTCCAATTATGATTTCCAGAAAGGACCTTATCAGCGCCATGAAGCTGCCAGACAATGAACCATTGACGCCGTCTTCGTACTGGATAATCACAGATACGTGGAAACAGGACTGGGAGCGGGGTGTCCAGGTTCCGGTTAACCCTGACTCCTTGCCGGCGCCCAAAGTCGAGATCATCGACAACCCACCACCGCCTAACTTCCAGGAATTCAAATTGTGAGTGCATATTTACGTTGTTAACTTGATTATTAAACACTACTCTGTGGGTGCCTTAAGGGGTACGATGAAACTTAATCAATTTCTACTAGTTCCCATTTTGTTGGGATTTAATAAAACTTATGATAAATTTAGAGCAAATATTTTCACATAATTTTTAGAACATAGTTAAAAGCTGACACTGATATGTCATGTACGACGTATTATGATGAAGTATCACGTCTTTGGGAGAGACTTGTGATACAAACTGTTTTTTTAGCACTAGACTGTTCTGTTTTGACAGTTCTACACGAATGGTTTAGAAGTATTTGTCTTATAAAAATACCTTTGTATTTACAGACAGTTTCAAGACGACATGGTTGTATATCTGATCAGATATAGTTCAGTGCAGGTCACGGGAAAACGTTTTTGTTCGGCTAAAAATATCGGAATATAATTTAAATAATATTTTGCATAAGATAGCTTTGTTTATCATGCTTAGTATAAGTATAAAAGATGTAGTCGAAAACTTTTTTGTCTATAACTGAGTAAAATCTATGATATAAAAGTTAATTTGGTGTGTGTATGTTTTTTAAAAACTCAAACGTTCTGCACCGATTGAGCTTAAATTTTAACTTGTTACACTTAAATGAAATCTTCAGTGAAAATATCTCACAATGTGCCATAGCGAAGCTTGGTAGGGACAGCTAGTATAGTAGAAACTATCCTAATGTGATTTCCTCTCTTTTTCCACAGACCTAAAGATAAATACTTGCACTTGGCGCGCGGATGCCAATTACTCAGGCGGAAAAGCAAAATTTTGAGTACGACGCCGGCGCGGCCGAGGCTGCTTGTAGCTATGACTTAGATGCTATGACATGGCTTGGCTGAAACTACTGAATGCTGAAAGGCCCGGGCTGGGCGCACCGGTCTCTGAGGACCACTCGAGAAAGTCATCGAAGAACTAGAGGTCAGTCAGTGATAATTATTATATGAATGAAACACATCAACTTTCACAAAAATATAGCTGGAAATTTTAAGAAATTGATTGCAAGATAATGTCACAATACTATGAAAATTTGATAGTTCAACTCAGTTGTGCGCGCGGCCCTATGTGTGCGGGGGCTTGTAATATACAACTTTCATTCGTGTGGCAGTCGTCGTCCGACTGCCGCGTCACATAGGCCGCGCGCACAACTGTGTTAAACTATCTATAAATGTTTTATTTATTCTTTTTTGCCACCACATCAAATAAGCAAACATAAAATACGTACTAACCGTGACTGTTTTCACTTACAATCCCGTTGAGAAATATGGAGTGAAAACTGCACTGATTTCTGTATTAAATATCAAATGCGTGTTAAATAAATAAAAATCCTCTAAGTATTTTATTGTTTCCCATTTCTTTTGTCTTGGAGGCCTGAATTTCACATCAACAAATATACATCTCTGATGTCTAAAATCGAATCTAATTGGTTTAGATCACTTATACTCTAAACATATTTACAAACTTGTAAAGATGAAATAAATAGTGACCCAACTTTTTTGTAACTACGTTTCTCTGCACTACCACTGTGTGTGTCAGCTTTGTTGTCCCTATCACTACATAATTTGCACACACACCGCATAAAAAGATCAAATCTAAAAGTTTTATAAACCTTTGATTAGAACTACAGTTGTATGTACTAAATTTGGGGACAAAGTAATTTGATATAACTTTTAAGTTATATATAAAACCTGAAATATATACATAAACCTAAAATATTTTTTGTGAATGTTGGTGCTTTGGTTATTAGATGCTTTAAAATAGAGATGTTGACACTTATTACAAATTTATGTTTCATTGTAAATAAGTCATTAATTGTGATGATACATCTGTTTGTAAAATAATATTAACTAAGATGTCATAGCTAAATCATTAGCATTGATCACTTAATGATGTAGTCGACTATTGAATGAAATGTATGCACTTTATGTAATGCCGTCACATGTGGCCATGCCAGATCATAAATAATTAGAGTTTAAACATTGTGAAAAATTAAACGCACGAATACTTTATGATATAATTAAAAATTATATGATTAGTGATCATGTCATAAAATGATTACTATGATTATCCACTGTTGGAACTGCTCAAATCATTATGTTGATTGATTATAAAAATGAAAATAATATGCAATAAGGTTCAGTGAAATGTTGTTACGACCATTTAAGGTAACAACACATAAGTTTTCTAGTTAACATATATTTTTTACCCTCTACATAATAGGGTTGTGTCCACTAATAATATATTGCTTATTTACAGTTTTAAATTATAAACGAAGAGACATAGATAAGAAAAAAAACAGTATATTTCTCATAAAAGTTAAAGATTATTAAAATTGCAAATGCTGCAAATGTGCAGTGACACCAATCAGAAATGTTCTCCGCCCCGCAAACATCAGCAGTTACTCCTATAGCTTATTAATTTTT